GAGTCCAACGACAAAGGTTTATACTTTGATAGCAAGTTCGCCTAGTGCTTGATCATTCGTCATTCGATTCCAATTCTACAATCAAATGCGGAAACCAGTTCAAAATTTGCTCTAAATTTGAACTTTAAGGTCGCCTTTAAAACAGCTTGGTCAGTTTCAGCTTCAATAGTGATTCAGGAGAGCGTTTTACATGCAAACAAGATTGCTCGTATATCAGGACGTTCCGACAGCCCCTTAATCGGTATCATATAGTTGTTGATAAAGAAAATTCTTAAAAACCATAAACTTTGGAAAATATTGAGTTCAATTCGTTAATGCAAACGATTAGCTTGCTCATTGTTCCGACTTTCGTGACGAAATTAAAGGAATATTTGTACTCGGGGTGGTTTTTTTTTCTTGAAAAACATTTCGATTTTTTAATTAGCCATTTTTGCCATTTTTATTTTAAAAAATAGTGTTGTTCTGAGCTTAAATTTGAAAAAAATATATTTCACCTGTGATCATTTTTCGTAATGTTATGGGGGTTTGAAGGTTGCCAATTTGGCCAATTTGGGACAATAAACGCGCGATATAATTAGCGCTATTAACGCGTAAGCGGAGATTTAATCCGTCTTAGAAATCGTTCTAAATTGGTTGAAAGAAGCTTATTTACCCTAATTGATTTGTTACAAGGAGCGAAATCTATCGTTTTGTTCTTTATATGGCGTGTGGGAGGATTCAAAATTTAGAAAAAAAAATCATTTAATTTTATTACATTTAATTTTTTCTAAAGTTATTACTGCTCCATAAAACTTAAAAGACAGTCGGAACAATCAAGCTGACAGTGATACGAGCAGACTTGTTCAAATTTGAAATGATTTTGATGTGCCGGATAATTCATCCCGCTGAAATAAATCGCATTAGGTTTTCGGCATCACAATGTAAGCCTTCACAGCGCCTATAAATTAGTTCAGGGAATGGCTAAAATGACAATTGTCAGACCCCCAGATTTTTAGAAAACAGTGTGCGGAGGCATACATATTTTTTTTCCGATTTTTGTAACGAAAGTAACAGAAAATTTGTGCTCGTGTTGGTTTTTTTTCTTCAGACAAATTCGACCTTCTTACTAGCCATTTTTGACGAATTTTTTTTCTCATTCGAAGCGTATGGTTGTCCTGAGCTTAAATTTGAAAAATAGTTCACCTGTGATCATTTTTTGTAATGTTTTGAGGGTTTAAAGAGTGCCATTTTGGCCAATTTGGGAAAAATTAACGCGCGATATATTTCGCGCTGTTAACGCAAAGCGGAGATTTAATCCGCCCTAGAAAACTCCAAATTGGTTCAAGGATGCTTATATTCCATAATTGATTTGTTAATAGGAGCGAAATCTATCAACAAGTATTTTATATGGCGTGCGGTGGGATAGTTTTCACAAAAAAATCTCGAATTAAAAAAAAGAAACTCAATTTTTTTTATTAGAAATAAATTTTTCAAGTTAATAGTGCTCCATAGATCTGAAAAGGCAGTCGGAACATTCAAAGCTCCGGCCTGATACGAGCAGTTTTGTTTACTTTTAAGCTCAAGGAATCATTCTTTTCATTGGTGAATAAAAAACGTTCGTCAGAAAATATTATTTCGATCGGCGAAAGTTGACTGAATAAAAAAACCACCAAAGCATAAACATTCCGCATTTCTTCGAAAGTCGGAACAAAAACCAGCGTTGAGCCGGAAAAAAACAGTTGCCTAACAAAGTCTAGAATCTGCGTGAAGTCAACATGAACTGACTTTTCTTAGACAAACTACCATAACATATTTCCTCTACAAACAGCCTAAAACTAAAAGTTGTTCTCTTTCTTCGTTTTCGACAAATTAAGTTTTCAATGAATAATCCTTTTGTTTTCTATCAATGACTAGTTTGTTTGTTTGTTTGTTTGTTTGTTTGTTTGTTTGTTTGTTTGTTTGTTTGTTTGTTTGGATTTCTTCCACCACTCCCCCCTCTCCCAGTTGAATACGCGAGGAAGGGGAGGAGGAGGTTCGTGAGGTACAAATTTCACATATGTTTAATCATTTAACCAGTTCTCTGTCGGGGAAAAAGAAATATCTTTATGGGGGGGGGTATGGGGAGTTAAGAATTAAAGAGATCCAGTAGTTGTAAAACAAAGTTATCTCGAATCGCTTAATAAGTCGTGCATGAATACTGTAGGTCGGCCACGATGTGCAGCGAATAGAATACGGAGCACTCACTTATGGCGACAAGTTGAAACCAGGAATGATGCCAACGGCTCATGCCCATCTGTTTGAGATGGGCAACTGTACCCAACTTCCAAAGAGTGGGTCACTTGCCAGTATGTGCGTCATTTGCTACATGCATCAGTACCAGTTGCATCGAACCAACGACGACTTAGATTCTAAATGCCAACATAACCAAACAGTGTCGACAGCGATGAAAAAGTGTTATTGGCGATCACTTGTGGCGCCTTCAAAAGCAGTTACTAATAAATATGAAATTGTTATGCCGACACCGTCATCGGGTATGGTAAAAGTATGCAACGATTTACCACAGGATATTACCGATTATCTTAAGAAAGTTCCGATCGACACCGGAGACCATGATGATGTTGACGGTGATGATGATGATGAAAATAGTATTTTTCCAGCTGCTCCAAATAGAAGCGATTTCCAACCTACCAGTGGCATCAGTACTGTATGTGAAAACTATATGACCCTTTACTTCAACGTTTTGGTAGCTCTAAAGCTGATGGAATTATGATGTTATGACTCACGATATTTGATTTCAGATACTTTCACTTTTTTAAACTTTCATAAATGAAAAGCAAAAATCAGGGCAAAAAAAATAGAAACTTTGCTATCAAAAGCATTTCAAATTGTTTTGAATGAGTTTCAATTCAAAAAGAGAAAATTTGAGAAAACCAAAAACAAGTATTTTCTTTTAGTAACCGCCGATTTAAAGTCCTTTAAGACCCTGATGATTTTTTTCTTCCCAGTCCTGCATTATATCTTGAGTAACTCTACTGAATAATTCAATTTTTATGCAAACTTGCCGCAACCAAGGTAACTCAGTCATGAGAATATAAATGGAAAAATCAGTGGTTATAAAAAACAATCAATAATCACAATCACAGAAATAATAACAACAAAACTAAAGGTATTAATAGCAGTAATGATAATAATGCTAATAATTACAAAAACTACTGTAATCAAAAATAATCATAATAAAAAACGATAATGATAAGAATCAAAACAGTCATAATATTAAACTGAAAAAGAAAGAGCAAATATAAACACATGTTTTGAAGCGATTTTAAGAAAATTCTTGAAATCAAAGGCTCATAATCATACTTTATTTTTACTATTTTTTTGAGGACACTCTAAATAGGCAAAGTGAGTGCAACCTAGATAACCAATTATAAACTACACCTAAATTTGATACCTACAGGTGGAATTTTTGATATTGGAAATTTTTGCCACTTTTCAGTTGAATTTTTTTGGATTGTGTATTTTCAGAGAAATCGTTTTCTGGCTTCAACTAAATATTTTTTGAAAATCAACACTTGTGATCAAAAAAGTGGTAGCTAAAATAACTTGCTGACCTCCATGAGTTAGAAAAAGTTTTCTGATAATCATGCTACAAAAGCTAAAACAATCCTTTATGTTCTCGAATAGGTATTTTGAAGAAAATTGAAAAAAAAATTGAAATCTTATGTTTTTCCCCTCGGCTCTAAATTAGTTTTGAAATTATTTAAAACATCTGCATTTGAAATGAAAACGCTACAACCCCTTTTCATTTTTTTGGTATTTTTTTGTATCCCATAAAAGTTCGCTAGCAAATAGCTGTGACTACAATCTAAAAGAATCATGAAAAGTGAAATTTCACCTAAAAATCTTGTTTTTTTTTATCCGAAAAAGAAGGCAAAAACTTTTACAATTTTTGTACAAGACTTTCAAAAATTGGGATTTTTTCCCAAGAACTGGATTAGTTCAAAACCCATTCCATAAGAGTCAAAATGCCCTCAATCAAAATTCAAAATTTGAGTTTGGCATGAGTCAGTTTCTCTTAATCGTTTTCCACAATTTTTTTTCAATAAATCTTCTCCTAAACCTGACCGTCCGGTGTCAGACTGCCTTGAGATGGATTATAATAAGAAAGATCTCAAACATTAAACATTTTATCAGTATTTTATAGGATCTTTTGTGACATGAAAAAAAAAGAATTATAAAATGACCAGTATTAGAATAAGTAGTTGCATGAACCTAAACGGTTAAAATTGATACAGTACAAAAATACGGTGTTTTTTCCATCTCAAAATACTCTATGCGTACCAAACTAATCTCAGTTTGACCAGATCAAAAACCATAACAACTACTGGAATGGGAAAGTGTCCTGGCAATTTTTTCCTAAAATTGAGTTGCGCAATAAAAGTGAGTTATATTCCAAGTTATATTCCAAGAAAAAAAATCGTTGAACTGACAAATAATACTTATGACAACTTTCAGAAAACTTTCATTAATGAAAACTTCATGAACCTTTCATGAAAATTTTAGCGAGCCTTTCTATCTCAAATTGCTGAAGGGAACCCCCTTCCCCCCAGAAACCGATGGTTTGCGGAAAAAAACTTTCCTTCTCGGGTGACTCTTGCGAAGCGCAACACTCTGAAATTGAGGTTTTCCATAATTCGAAATGTTCCGCGCAAACTCTTAAACAAGAACATTTTTAGAAAATTAACTTTATGTTTCGAATTTGCGTTCGATTTGATGTTTCGGCTTTCTGTTCGACTTTATGTTTCGAGCGACTCGAGTTTATTTTTCGACTTTGGGTTCGGCTACAAGACCTTCTCGACTATGGGCTTTCGGTTAAACTCTGACATGTGTTCGACCCGACTCGATCCAAATTTAAATCGCAAACGTCAACCCGGGTAGCCTCGAAACCCAATAAGGTTGTAGTGTCTGATTTGTTTTAGAAGCTTCAATTCTTTTACAAAATTGTACAAATACGAGTTGAGCTACAAAACTTCAATCATTTTTAAGAATGAGTTCGACATAAAATTTGGTTTAAAAATAATGGAAATTGTTTTTCATGAAGCTTTTCAGTTTTTCATCTGAAATTGTTAGAAGGGAACAAACATCTTCAGAACTCTTCGACTCTGTATCTCAGTCCGTATTTGTATACTGTCTTCTTAACTTCGTCTAGCAGTGCATTTGCAGCACATACGCACACCAAAGTATCCTTGTACATCGGCTCATACTCGCACAAAATATCCCCGATATTCATTCGTCCATTCGTGACAACCATGTTCGAAGCATTGTCTTCAGCTGTGTTTTTTGGTTCGTATTTCTGCTTGCCAGTGTAAAATATCAAATGTCGGCATCGGTCGTGGTTAGCCTGTTTGCGGATTAGAGATTTATACAGGTCTATCATAGCGGGTTCCCGGGCTGAGAAAACCAAAGTTGTCTGAACAAGTTTCGAGTCGCTTTGCTTCTCCGCTGTGAATTGTCGGTTGTTTCGCTCGTGGTCATCTGAAATTCAGAAATTTCTCCATATTTGCATATGCAAGAGTTTTTGAGAACCTCAGGAAGCTTAGTCGACCGATATATGCGCTTCTGCAAATTATCATTCTACAAAAAGACTGCTTTTCTTGACCTTGATCGAAAGATATGCACTTTTGCACAGGCCCTTTCACCAGAAAGTGACAAGAAAAAACTAAGGATCTGGCAACTGAAAAAACAGTATTGAAGAAACAAGAAACAATAATTAACCCCCCCCCCCCCCCCCAACACACTCACAGTGCCACCGTCAGGAAAATTAAACCTAATAATTTTTAAAGCTACTTCAGGACGTAGACTATTTTACCTGGTGGTAGGCCAACAAGCCGAAGGGTCAACAAACCGAAAATAGGACTACCATTCCAACAAGCCGAAAATTAATATTTTTATGCAACATAACAACAGATTGTCATTGTTGTTATGCAATTGTTACGTAATTCTGATGTAATCTACTTTATTCGGATGCATTTTCGGCTTCAAGATATGGCGGTGTGTTGATTATCCGCCATTTTACCTTATTTGTGTCTAGACTGTAGTTATCTCGTCACATTATCGGACGCAGCACACAGACCATAGACGCAGTAGATAAATGTCGGTATGAGTTTAGATGGTTTGATCAGTTATGATCCTTTAATTTAAAATAAACTTTATCAACCACACCAACCAAATCTAGATAATACTGCAGTGCAGTCACCTCTTAAGTGTCGGGAGGGGTGACTGAAATAGCCGCACACATGATCTTAACCGCTATAGTCATTTGATCTCTAGTTTTGGAGTCAGTTTCGTTTGTGGGGCGGTTTCAAAACTTAGATCAGTCGTAAAATCTCATTCTATAATTTCAGTAATTGGCCGACCTGTGAGCTTAAACACTGTCTGGTAGAATAGAGAGCCCTGGTTCAATTTTAGAGAACAAAATGTGGTCCGAAGATTTATACACGTCAAATTGAAGTTACAGATTGCAACTGCAAAGTATAAAAAGACTGCTCGTATCAGGGTGAAGCCCTGAAAGTTCTGACTGCCTTTTAAGGTCTATGGAGCAGTATTAACATGAAAAAATTAAATGTAAAATAAAACGAAAAATATATACCTTCTTTGATTTGTAATTTTTTTCGAAAAGCATCCCCCACACGCCACATAAAGTGATAGGTTTCGCTACTAGAAATAAATCAATTACGGCCAATAAGCTTCTTTCAACCAATTTGAACTGATTTCTAAGACGGATTAAATCTCAGCTTATATGCGTTAATAGGGTAGAATATATCGCGCGTTAATTGTCCCAAATTGACTTAAAAATATGACAATCATTAAACCCTCGTAACTTTACGAAAAATGATCACAGGTAAAATATCTTTTTCATATATAAGCTCAAGACAACAAAAATTTTTGAATGATTTTCAAAAAAAATCTGTCGAAAATTGCTAATTAAAAAATCGAAATTTGTCTGACGAAAAAAACACCCCGAGCACAAATATTCCATTACTTTCGTTACAAAAGTGGGAACACCGATTAAATTGTATGAATTATATTATTAGAAATTACTGCTAGAGTATCACATGAAATTAAATTGCCCTCGTACACGTTTTTTCTGTACGCGTGGAATTACGTCGACATTTTTGACAAAACGATTTTTTATTAAAAACTGTATGATACGAAGTTTCGGCCAAGTCGGGACACGCAATTCATACTCCAAGGGGGTGTAGCGATTAGCATAAGTGCCTATTAGCACGCGATGACTGTATAAATTGGGTGTGCAATTAGATGAACACAAATAAGTTTCAAATAGTTTCAAAAACCATTAAATTTGTTACGAAAATGAAAACTTCAATTTCGCCTAATTAAAAAATTTACTGAGTTCACGCTAATAAATATTGCAAATTTGAGCAAACTAAATGCGAAATAGCGAGTCAACCTATAAACTTAGTTCAAACTACATGCTTTTACATGGGCATGTTAATCGACACGCATGCTAATAGGCGGTCGGTCTCTATACTACATTGGTAACGAAAAAAGAAGCACAACAATGTCGACTACGCTTTTAGATATGCCGACTGAGCACCGAAAATCAGGCCGATAAGACTTCGACCCGAGCCTTAAGCTTGAGGGATTCAGCCAAAAACTTACACAAAAATTGAAAAGTTCGATAAATTTTTGGACTTTTTTAAATTTCCTTTGCCATATTTTAGCTTTTTCATATCTTTTGATAAATGAAATGCTGTTAAAAAATCATAAGTATTATTGAAAATTTTTTCCTAAGTATGCTTTTCAAACTCCGGGCTAAATTACCCGGGTTGACCTCCAGACAAAAAAAGCTTTTCATACAATTCCATCCAAAAAACATGCTTATTGCTTATTATTCAGCTCCATATATAGATTGTCTGAAAAAAAATTATCGAGCAATTTTCATGTACAAAATTAGTATGATAAGCATTTGGTACTTATTTACAAACATTTTCCAAAATAAAAAACTAAAAATGAGGCAACTTATTTCCAATTTTAATCGCAAAAATGTTTTTCCGCTTAATCAAACGTCTTCTTGAAACAACTCTTGCGTGCAAAAATTTTTTTCATTCCTGTCTATAAAGTAACCCGAGTTGAAGTTTTCATAAAAATGAATCCGAAATTATTATGTCTTTTTTGCGTCAACCCAGTTTTAATAATTTTTATGTTTTTAAATGGTAAATATGTTAAATAAACTTTAATTGTCAAAAAAAACACAGGCACGATTTTGAGCCAGTTAGATTTTTAGAAAAAATCTTTTGGCTTATACAAATTGTACACGTGGTCAGATATTTTTAAAAATTTCAATTATAACTCTGATTGAATTTAGTTAATTGATTTGGATGGCTAATGTCGAACAGATGTTTTCTTTTGAAACTATCGCCATTTGACCAATGGTTGTCTTACATAAAAAATTCACAGGCTATTGCGTTTCGTTGTTTTTAGTGAGGCACAGAACAAAAATTTTGATTGATTTATTGAAAAAAGCTAGTCATACATACAGTGCTGATTTAAATTATCCGGACAAAACGAACAAAACTTGAATTTTCAAACGCGTTTTTCTCAAATTGGGTTAAGACTAGACAAAAAGTGAAGAGAACAAAAGTTGCTTAGAATTTTATCAGAATTATTATGGTGCAATTTTTTTCTCGGAAATTCTTAACCAAAAATTTACCCCAAAAATGGGTCATTTTGGCTTTTTTCAAATAATTAAGAAAAACGCTGAAACTTTTATGTTAATTGATGAGATAATTGTATCACAGGAAGCCCCTTACGCAGCTCTACAAAGTTTAAAAAGGGTTAAATCTCCAAAAACCAGTATAAGAGAGAAAAATTTTACTTGATAGTCAATAAATGTGATTTTTACTATATAAAACCCAGAATCTGTTTAAAAATAAATTTTAAACAATTTTCGCAAATTTTTGGAGATTTAACCCTTCTTAAACTTTTTAGAGCTGCGTAAGGGGCTTCCTGTGATATAATTTTCTCATCAATTAACAAAATAGTTTTAGCGTAATTCTTAATTAATTGAAAAAAGACAAAATGACCCATTTTTGGGTTAAATTTTTTGTCGAGAAATTCGCTGTATTGCATGGCAAATTTATTATCTTAGAAATTTCATATGGGAACTTATACAAACTTTTTTATTCAGCTTTCACCTAATTACTACTAACAATGAATCATGAAGTTGCACAGAAATTATTTAATACTAATCAATCATGATTCATATCTAAACCCTAAGTATGATTTCCTTTTGATCAGTTCAAGGGATCAGACCACTTTTAATACTCATTCTTTTAAAGTTTATCTCATTCTAATTTCACTCAACTACCAATGTTTCCTTAGAAATTTTGAGACTACGGAAGTTTGGAATAAGAATAAGATACTAGACTATAAGGAGTCCCCCGAATTGATTAACTTCGCTTCATATTAAAAAAAAACACGTCTAAAGAATCGAAAAAAAGCGTGGTTTTGTATTTGTGTATAGATTCAACTTCGTCACTAGATTTCAAACTTTTCTCCGCTAGCTAAAAGCCCACTAGTGATTTTCCATTTGTCTTTCTATTCAAACTCAACGATGCTATGTGGAATTCGGTTTAAAATTTGCAAAAGAAAAAACTAAATCTCTGAGTTCACACCATCACAAAAAAACCGAGTCTGGCATGGCATCCTAATGGAAATTATTGAAGTTAACCAGTTTCTTTTGAGACATTAAAGGGGCAATAAAAATGTAAATGACGATTTGCTCTTGTAGACTCTTAAATATATTTTTGAATTTTCAGAATGACAACTAACTTTTTTAATTTCTTCAGTTTTTGAGATCATTCATTAATTTTTTTGGTAATTCTAGCCAAACTGCTTCATCGCCAAATCAACGCTAAAAAGGATATCAAAAATTTACTGCAATTCAGCTTTTAACTTACTGATGATTGTGAGAGCGCTGAGAAAGTATCCAAATCCGGATCCCCCTGCAATCAGAACCAGGTGCTTGTACGATCGGTAGCTTTTCCCGATGACGTAGAACGAAGACCTGTATGGTCCATAGGATCTGATGTCAAACTCAACGCCACACTCTTCGTCACAGTTATCATGCTTGATCTTATCCCCACTTTCTTTTTGTTCCAACAAAAATTCTAAACTTTGTCTTTCTTCTCCCTCATCGGTTTTATCGGTTTCTTTTGCTGTTCTGTATCCAATTTTCTGTATTTTCTTGTAACTTCCAGAAATGTCCACGTGAACATATTCGTTGCTCACAGTTTTCCCGTTCTTTAAGCTGCGTTGAATTTTATTGTCGGTCTTCAATAATGGCCGGACGCTCCTGAAATTTAAAACTTTGTTTGTTTGTAGTCGTTTTGAACCAATGTAACACCCGAAAGTTTATATTTCGTAGCTCAAAAATATTCCCAAAAACTAACTTCCCAAAAAATCCCAAGTTTTCTTAGAGTTTTTTGAATTTTTATGTGCTTTTGAAGCTAGTGAGAAGTTTTGGACGTAAATTGAAAGTTTCCAGTAGCTAACCTGTTCATGAGCCACAAGCCCCAAGAGCTGGCATTTTTAGGGTTCATTTGGATCACAAACCCGACATTCCACTCGTTTCGGGTTTCTGGATCCCAGTTCTGGAACGAGGTGTAGGGGTGAGACCTCTGGATTATCGGGGTGCAGGGAGCGTTCTTCTGGAACCGATGCAGTAGCCAGTAGTTGTCAGCGCAACCTTGTCCGGAGTACTCCAGTCCAGGTAGGAATCCATACAGCACAAAGATGCTATCGGAGACCTTCTGGATCCTTCGGACTCTGAACTTATTCACGCGATACCAGAAAGTGGCAAAAGTCCGGTCGATTAAGTAAAGAAATATCAGTGGAAGATTAAATCTCCAGCAGAGCGGGTGCGAGTTCTTTCTGACCATGTCAATCATGAATGCAAATCCAGCTGCGGCATGGATACCCATCGCCACAGAGTAGCTGCGATACATCATCCAATCGGCTCGAGAGATTGGAAAGAGAAGGCAAAATACAAAAATGGAGAGAACCAAGCGGAACACTTCGTCTGCAGAAAACACCACTTGACCATCCTCGATGTAGTCTTTGAAGGTCCTGATGAATGGATCCCACCAGTCATCGAAATCGATCCCATCTTTTAGCATGTTCAAAGGGGTCCCGTCGATAGCCCAAGGTGCCAGTAGCAACCCACAATGGAGTACAGTGACCAGGCCGTTGAGCCAGATTCCAGCGAACTTGTGCACCTGCCAGTTTGAATGTCGCACGTCCATGTCGATGAAAGAAGGCGCCGCTTCTTCTAGAACGTTCGGCAGAATCCACATGACGGTGTAGAATGCCATATTCAGAGATACAATGAGAGTCCTAGCAGTCGTGATCCAGAACCACTCGGTGACGTATGCTCCGATCTTGTCTGGACCTCGATACTTTGGGTACTTGTCTCTGGAAGCCCTCTTCATCAGCATGTCCCCATGAGTCTGACTTAGCCAGAATCTATCCACGAGAACCCAGACGAAGCTCATGATATATACAAACCACATGATTCCAGTGTAGGTCAGCCTCCTTGGGATCCAGTTTTTGCGGTTGACGAACCACCATCGCATATAGTAAGGGTTGAAGTTTCTAAGCTTAGAACGTATATCCATTTCAACGGCAACCTCTACCAAACAGTTTCAATGCTTATATGATGGATATTTTGATACGCTAAGGCGATATCAAGTATAGCATAACCAAAGTTGAAACCAGTGTCAGCCTCAGTTTAATGAAGTCGAAGAAACCAGAGCTTGTTTTGAGTGTATTAAATTTAATTCACGACTCGAGTCAAGTTAACCAGATCAAAAACAGACCTCGATCTTATTATTGTCCGCTATAATTAGTACAATTAAAAACTCAGCCGAGTTAATTGAATATAACAATTCAAGGTTAACGATACATGTGAAATTCTGCTTAATTTTTTGAAGTTTTAATTGGGTTTTTTAAAGCCGATTATTTGATTCACTTTGATACTTCTCATCATAGATTTTCGCCCTATGCGACCTCTGCATTTTGTTTCGGAAAAAAAGAGCGAAGACAATATTATGGTGCATTTTTGAGACCGTCTTATAAACGCTATTTTTTAAAAGCCGCTCGTAGGTGTTTTCGTTTCCCAAACAGAGATCTGACACGTTTGAATTTGAATTTGAATTCATTTATCCGGAAACATTACGATGTTAATGAAGTTAACGTTATATATTCGTTCTATATCAACATTCTATCGGTTTCTGGCCAAACGAGGAACAATGTGATTTTTAAAGCGGCTAAATTGTTGAACTGAGAAATTATTATATAAATTTTAGTATGTACCAGCTCAGAGTTCTATAAAATTAAAATGTTAAAATAAAGCATTAAGTTATATACAAAACCTTGCATCTATATAGCGATTGAATGGGTCTGATAATGTCAAGGGTAGTGCTTTTAGGCGATAAAAACCTTCGGGTGGAAACACTATATATATTTACAATAACTTCATGATTCAAAAACGTTTAGATAAAAAATGTCAAAATCTCGGAAAGAGAAACCCCAACAAGTTTGAGCCCCATATGAGAAACATCAATTCTTTTATATTTCACTCTGTCCTAGAAGAAATCAGTTTGATGGTTTTATGAAGTTTATTAAGAAGGGCGCAAAACAAAAAATTAGTTGATTGCACAATACCCACTGTTCCGACCTCGTAGTGATAACTTTAAATATTTGAATTACTTTATCAGATCAAGAAGCCCAGAGACATTTCGTATGAAGCCAAGTGAAATACCATATAGAAAAACTTGTATGAGTTTTTTGGACTGCAAGGAAAGTAACTTTAAAAACTTTTCGGTGTGAAAAGTCAGCCATACGAATGTTTCTGCTGCTCAATTGATGTCATTTAAGTTCGCTTTTAGCTTTAAATGACATAAGTTTTTAGCCATCAGGAAAAAACATATACTTTTATGAGGATGAACTACCTGCTGGTAGCTGGGTCTTGTTTGTTTTCCTTTATAAATAAATAGATTGATGTGTCTTACTTTTTTCTAAATTTCAATTTTTTTTTACTATATAATGAAGACTGGTGTGTTTATCTTTCTCTTTTACTCTTCTTTTTCTTCTTCTTTTTTCTTTTTTCTCATCTTCTTTTTTGTCGTGCTTTTTTCTCCTTTATCTTTGTCTTCTTCTTTATCTTCTTTTCTTCTTCTCCTCCTTCTTTTCTTTTTTTTCTTCGTGATTTTGAAGTCAGTTTAAGTAATTTATTTTTGTTGGTTTTTGAAAATAAATTGCTTCGTTTTTTTAGCATAAACTTTTTAAAAAAAATTTTTTTTACAAAATTGATTCACAGTTCGCAAATTGTTAAAATAATAAACTGACTAAGAAAATTTTGACACTTTTTTGAAACATTTGACTCATTTTTTGGTTTCTTATCATAAAATTATTATGATTCATAAAACAGTTCATGAACAGTTAAAGAAAGATACATATAGTTTTTGAAGAGGAATTTTTCTTTGAGTTAAGTTCATGTTTTCTTCACATCGATAGTTCTACATAACCGTTATCTATTGCGCGCATCCGATTTAAGAAACAGCTCGTTCCATCCAAACTAATTTTTCAAAAGCCTAACTCTATCTGTTTTTCAACCTTCTATGTGAATTTTATCAAAAAACCGGGTTCTTGCTGAGTTTTTTAAGCGATTGCTTCACAAGTATTTAACTTAACAAATTCTTATAATTTTGAAGCGTTAACAAGCTAGATAATATTTTGTTATTTCAGTAGGAGTTCAAAATTTTTAAATCGAAATATGTAGACTGCTTTCTATGAGTTTTCATATAAGTTTTCAGATCATGGTAATTGTTTCGACCATTGACAAAAGGGTAGGAACTTTGTATTTGGCTGTCTTAGTTTTTCTTTTCGTTTTCCACGTAAAATCAGTTACCAGAAAGAATCATCTAAATAATTTATCGCATGTAAGGCTTTTCATTCTTGTTTCAAATAGAACTTTGAAAAATTCAAAAATGACCAAGTATTGAGAAAAATTGTTTTGAAATAAATTTTTGAGACTTAGTGTAATTTCAAGAAAGCAACGCAATCGTGTAACGCTTGTTGCTTGAAAATTTACATTTTTTAGACTTTCAGGCTAAAAACAAACAATTTTACTGTAAAAAAAAACGAGTTTCTGATATTTCAGTTGGGGCTTAACTGGCAAAAAAAATCTAAAAAGTATTTAAAATTATATCTAAAACCTATAACTGGAAAAACTATTAAATTTATTTTTTACATTTTTTTTACATCATATGTTTCTTATTCATTTTTGAAAACAAATGTTCCTGGTCATTCATTTTTTTCTATGCGATCATAAAGTTCTCAAATCACACCACGCACTAAAAACTGCACTAATTTGAAAAAAAAACGTACGAAAAAATAACTTTTTTTTTGTTTTTTATGAATGCGGTCGGAACATTCTGTGCTACTTGCACAGCAAACGGCACTCTTTGTTTTGCACTCTCTGTGTTAGCTTGCAAACGATGCGAAGCTTGTTTTTGTCTGATTTACTTTCAAGTTGATGAAAACTTTTTTGTCTGAACCCTCCCCCAAAGTCGAGAGGAACTACATATATAGATTTTTAGAAACCCAGGTCGACTAGAATGAGTTTCCGAGAATCCAAAAGACCCTATTTTGGTGCCAATTCTGCAAATTCCGAATCGCGTAGACATTATTTGGAAACTTCCGTTATCTAGCTTAGCTGCCCTGTAAAGCTGAGCATATATTGGCGCTGTTGACGCTCGCATAAAAATTTCATGTTCTGTCAGTCAAAAAATGATGCCATAAAATAGTAAAAGAGGGATGGGTTCTCGGGTGGCGAGGGTTTCCATTTTCTAAATTTTAGTGTGTGGGCCTTAGTGCCACCCCTGCCGATGTGAGAAAAAGTTGTTGTGAGATTGAAGTTGTGTTCAACGTTTTTGTCTAGTAAGAAAGCCATTAATTATTATTAAGAAAACCAAATTATCACGCAATTAACATTACAATCTTCTCTAAAAAACCAGCTATTGAAAGACGAAAAATAAAAATTCAGAATTTTTCGAAAAGCAAGTGTCAGATTTTTTTTCTGGGCATAAATATTTTTTGGCAATAAGCAAAAAATGACAAAAAAAATTATTTCTAAATTTTCTGTTATCATTTTTTTCATGGAGCACTGTTGTGAGGTTGTGCTGCTCAGTTTGTTTTGAAAATTAATTCTGTATCTGTGAAGAAGTAAACACAAAAAGTCTCGAAAAGTAAAAAAGAAGTGAAATTTCTATTTTGACCAAATGTTCAGTGTTTGGAGCTGTACCGCAACTGTACAAAAAACAAGCGTCCCTATGATTTCTGCACCACTGAGAAAAACTGAATTAGAACGGTATTTTCAAGTTTCATGAGTTTTTTGGCGCAGGTTCATGTTAACCACAAAAAGTTCCCACATACTCATACGCATCAGTGATTTCCCTCTGATACTAAGAAAGAAATCGCGCCTAAATCGTACTATACCTCCGCGCCTAAAAACTTACTTTGAATTAGTCACAGTAAGAGCAGCAAGTTATAAATGGCACATGCACAGTAAAAAAATTTTGTTAAAAAATAGGATACGAAAATTTTTAAAACTACGATCAGTTCAAGTCATTCCATATTCAGCATGCTTTACTGATTTAATTATCCGGACAAAACGCATAAAATTTGAAATTAAAAACCCGTTTTTCTCGAATTGCTCTCATGTTAAACAAAATGTGACGAGGACAAAACTTGCTTATAATTTTAGCAAAAATATTATGAAGCAATTTCTTTTGGGAAAATCGGTCAATTTAAAGTTACAGCAAAACTACGACACCAATTACTGTTAAGTTTATATAAAAGTGAGCCTCTTACGTGGCCCCAAAAAATGCGCGAAACGTTTAAAAAACTATTTTTGAATAAAATATTGGTGTTTATACAGTACAATGTTTTATATTACAGCGTTTTGGCGAGTATACTTTTGTTAAACTTTGTTGGGCCAAGTAAGAGGCTTTTGTTGATATAGTTTTGACAGTAATTTTTTTTCGTAGTTTTGGTTTGATATTCAATTGACGATAAAAGAGTAATATGATCCGTTCTTGGAACAAAATTTTGGGACCTGCGATGGTCTGAGAAACCATCGAAATTGAAAATCTTAGTCTAAAACTAAAAAGATAAATATATGAATTTACCTGATCTGTTGAAACATATTAAATGGGTTCAGAAGTGATTCTATATTTATTGCAGTCTCTTTATTATAAGATGAGTTTAACGAACTATCACGATGTGTCAACCACAATAGATTCTCATGATATCAATCAATTCTGTCAATGAATGCAATGCTTTAGATTTCGAATGTATTTTTGGTGAGAAGTTACCAAAAATGAGAACGTGTGAACACAAAACATATTTATTTCAAATGACATATCTTGTTTATATGTATACTTTTCGCACTGATAAAAATTACAAAAAATAACTAATTATCATAAACATCGATCTCAATAAAACCTTCATAACAAATCTCTTGTCTTGCACCCATCCCAAAACATAATGGACCGTAAAAATTCTGCTAAGTTTTTAAACAAGTTTTGTATTCATCACTTTTTGCTTTTTGCCTTAATTCGACCTATTTTGATATCACGCGTTTTAAATTTCAAGTTTGATTGATGCGTTTTGTCCGGATAATTTAAATCAGCACTAAAACGAGCGAGGTTTTTACAAACCTAGTCGCTCGGTTTACTCTTTAGTTGTGGTTCCGTAGAAGTAGCCAAAACGACTGGATTACAGAACTGCTGCTTGTGAAAAGGTGGCACATGCAAAACGGAATGTTGAACATGGAGCTTGAAAAAAAACATGTGGAGTTAAGAAAACTGGTAGAAATCTCAGAGTCGTTTGACCTTGAATCTTTTAGAGATATTTTGGAACTGGAGAATTATCAGGGGCTGTTTTTCCTCCCCCATATACCCCACCTCACATAAGCATCAATTTTATGACCAAATATTTTTATCAGGGCTTAGTTAGTCGACATGTCAATTTTTATAACAATCGGACAATAAGAACAGTAAGTTAACTATTAAAAACTCGCAGGTGGAAAGAAAAAGAAAAAGAGGGGGAAAGAAAAAGAGCCGTATCTGGAGCTCGATGAACTGTTAGAGCTTATAGAGCAGAAACAATTACCTTCGAGAGTTAAGAAGTGTCAATGAATGAGCCGATGCTCTGAAGAGGTAGGCGATGCTGGCCTGTGAGACTATTTATACCATTAACAAAGGGATTCAGCGAGGGAAGCACGAACGTGTTTTCTAGTGTCTCTAGCAGTAGTCTCAAACGGAGACTGGTAGAACCAGACTAGAGATGGCGGATAAGACATAAAGAACGAACTTGAGCCTAGGAGTAGAAGAGAATCGACAGTGTTGGCCCATTCGTGAGAACCCATTAGTGTCCACCATGGCCCATTCGGGCGATTCGACATGGTGGACATGAAGGAGCTAGATAGAATTTTTTGAAACTCGAAGATTTAAATTGTTAGTAGTTTTAAAGGACAATCATGCTTTTCCGCATTCAGAAACTTGCGTGTGAGAATTTCTCCACTTAGGAATTTTTCTGCGCCAATTGTTTTTAGCAGTAATTGATTTTTATCAACAGTCAGGGGCTCAATAGCATCAACAGGACTGTTGGTGCGAAGTTGTGCGAAAAATTTAGCGAATACGACTTAATGCGAAAAATCATGATTTTCCTTGAATGCCACTGACAATGCTACAACATCCTGAAAATTGTTTCATAACAGAATAACAGAAGATAGATCATTTTTCATTCACATCTTGAAATCTCCCAATTTAGGAAGCGGTGCATTTCAGAACAAGAAGTGACTCCGGAGGGAGCAACCCATCTCGCAAGTTCTGTGTTTGGTGAGAGACGAATAACGACTCGATTTTTTATCCCCACACACACCTCCCTACGATGACAGCCGGGAATCGTTCACTTGTTAGCTTTCTGACAATTCTAGACCCACCCAACGCAGCTCATATATTCATCAACAAATTTTGGTCATTTTTATTGTAGTAATGCCGTCAATATCAAGCTTCCTACTCTATTAGTACAAACAATTTCTACTCAAAAAGTTAGGGAAAGAAACTAAAAAATATATAATTATACCTCAGGGGCTTCGAAATACCTGTATAACAAAAGTTGCAACTACTTCATAAAAGAATAAATGAAATCAAAATCATATATTTTTTCATAGAAGACTTGAAATGCTTATTTTGATGTCCATCAGTTATTTTTGTTTTTCTTTATAACATTTTTAATTGCCAAAACTTCAGAACGGGAAGTTCTGCTTCTTGTAGGAAGTCAACGACTCCTAAGTTGAAGGATTCTCGAATATCGATATCGAGATCGAGACCAATTTTGAGTTCATTTTTTCTCCAGTTCTAGCTAATCTCAAATAGAAGAACTCATGGAAAAATTTTGCAAAAAAACTCCAAATACTGTTGAGATGATTTCATAAGGACAATCTTCGTAGGAAGTGCGACCTAAAGTTTAACAGTAAGCTTAAAAAACATTATAAAAGCCCAACTTTTTCTTGGACCTTGAAAGCGAGAACTATACTGATGTCAAATGTCATTGAAAATCATGCCACTTTGACCCATTTTCCAGGTGTGTTGTAAACATATTCTTTGAAGTAAAAAAAATTCGGCCAAAAAACTAAAAATTTCCTGTTAATGCAAAAAGTTGTCTGATTTCTGGATATTGAGAAAAAAATGGATCGTCCCGAAAGCAGCTTCAATTTCTTTATCTTGCAAAAATACTGAGCTATAAAATTTTTGTGCCTTTTTTGAAACTTTCCTCTTCATAGTCTTTTTGAGGATCAAAATCTCGATTTTTTCGAAAACTATCTTGGTAAAGTGGAACCAGCAGCCCTAATGAGAAGCTACTACAAACATTTTCTTGACAGCTGCTGCAGTTACTACAGTTATGAAGCCTGTTATGATTGATTCTAGCATCAAATAGATCGAAAGTATTCGAAGGATAATTCACTCAAAATTGTTTCAAAAATTTTGAAAACTTTGTTTAGTTTTAGAGTCCAAAAACCCCTAAAATACCGGCAAAAATCAATCGCCGCTTCGTCCGAAAAATTTGGGTAAACGGCGGTTGTGCGGACTCGAAATTTTTGCACCCCATATTTTTTTCTGAACAAACCTAAACTTTTAGGTCTTCGGTTGTCAAAAAAGTTACGAGACCAAAATATGGATGAAGAACAAACTCTGTAACTTTTCTGGGTTTTTAACAGGCACCTTCAATTCTACGTCCAATTCTCACGTCGAATTGTCACGAAGATTTTTAAAGATGGGACTAGGGGGAAGTAATTGTGTTCTTCAGTTTTTTACAACCAATTTCAGGTCTCCAGTCCTTGTAACACCTGATGAAAAATTGATTTGACATTTGAAATGAACAAACACTTTTCATTGGTTTTGTTCATTCTGAACATAAATCCTCTAATAATTATATTTGGTTCATTCATGCTTTTGTTTCAATAAAGGAAACTTTCATGTATAGGTCGGAATAATTAAACGAAATTGTTTCATAACATGTGTCTTCATTTTGAAATGCTCATCTGGAGCTAATTTTTTCCTTTCAGCCACCTCTCTAAAATAAATATAATTTAATTTGCACCATTTTGGCTTCCTGGCTTTATTTTTTCTATTCGGCTTGAAGTCCCGTCGTCCTGTTGTCTGGCATCCTCTATGCCAACACCGTCTGTTTGCAACTCATGCAGACAGACAGAGAAAAACGCGAGTTCTATACTTTATTTCTGAATCTGTAATCCTCCAAATTCACACTGAATCAAAAACAATTTGAATAGTTTCAGATACTACAGACACTCAACCTCAGCTGGCAGGTACTTAATCAAATTACTCCAGAATCTCAGAGAGCAACAATGGCGCCATTAAACAAACTCAATAAACGATAGAACTAAACTCAAACTATTCATCTTATGAAATGTACATATACGACCTTCCCTCAAGTTAACTAATTTTAGATATAAACTGATATTGAAACGAAATTTAAGACCCGCCGTCCACCTCTCCTCAACATACACATACAGTTTTAGAGTTTCGATTTCGAATCTTCCCCCGATTTCCAATGGCACAATTTTTAGTTAGTATCCCGTTCTCTCGCTCCTTCTTTCGCCCCTCCTTGAAAATGCTATCAATCATCACTCCCCCCATTGTCCACACCGCCGTACACTTCCTGAACTCTTCCTCAACCCCTTTCCATCCAAATCGTGAGAATCCTGACAGGACTGACTGGAAAAAGAAACCAATCGCTGCTTCCACGGCCGTCCCGCCTTTTTCTTTGAATCCTTTCCGCTCGCCACCGCTCCGTCTTCACTTACATTTGGCACACTTTTCGCATTTCCGATAGTTTCCGCTTCGTTTCTAGCATCTCGTCCATAACTTTTCCATTCTCCGTCGGTCAAGGTTTTCTCCGTTGGCGTCTCCGTGACTAGTTGCGGGTTGATCAAAGCACCACTGGTACTCGGTCCGGCCTCCGTCTCATCTCGTTCGCACGCCATTATTCTCGTCGATTGTAGCGGCTCATAATCATAGTCCAATTTTGAATCCTCATCCCAATTTTGCGACTTTGGCCGTGGCTGGGACTTTATGTTCGACTTCGTTGTCAATGACTGTGACAACCGCTCCTTATCGAGTTTCTTTTTAACGTCCTCCGTCGTGGGAGGCTTCAGTTGTTTTCTTTTAGGCGAGACTATTGCTGACCGGTTAACTTTTTCCGCTTACACAGCTTTTTCTAAATATACGTTTTCTAATGTTAACGTATGTTTAGATTCATTGTGGACTTTCTTATTCAGTAATATGTACCTTTATTCCATTAAAACAAAAGTTCCGTTCGCGTACTAGGTCTGTTTGACAGGCCCTCCGACTTGAGCTGTTTAGACTCCTTGGAGCCACCGCTCCCATTAACTTCCCTCGCAACTTGACGGTCGCCAGATGCGCTAACCAGCTGGTCATCCCCCAATCTTCTTGGATGGTTAATATAGTCCAACACTATCTTGCTTCAACCTTTTTTCCCTCTTAAGATTTCATGACGACGGTTTTTTTGTAAGATTTCAGAGATATTTGCCTCCCGGCCGTGATGTGCCTCAATGGACGTGATTTTGGAGGAAGTGTTGGGTGCAAATCTTAGCGCACTGAGTGCGCGTTCTATCCTGGATTCGAGATTTCCGTGTTCTTTTTTTTTGCATAGGTTGAGACAAAGTTCTTCAAACTACGTATAGG